CTGATGCAGACCTACCGAAAAGCGCAGAATTGATCACACCTGCGGCAGTGTCGAAGCACACTTACTCAAGAGCGGGGAGTGCGCGCGCAACTAAGGGAGGGCGCAGGTCAGTGGGCACAAACGCTGACGGAGGTCGCTACGTCGAGAAAGTGAATCTAGCTGGCCCTCCTTCGTCGGAGGAAGAAGATGTGCGCGAAAGGACGGAGGCGGAGAACAAGAAACGAGCTAGGGCACAAGGTCGTCGATCTGCGAAAAAGGCAGAAGCTGCGCAGGAACGCGAAGAGGCACGCGAAGCGGTCAAGGAGCTCAACACGCTCGATCCCGCATCTCCTAACGAGTCTCGCAAACGTCGACGAGCCTCCAAAGATCCCTCTTGGAATCCTCGCAAAGCGGACGACGCGGAGAGCGAAGAAGCTGCGGAGGAAGGAGGAGATGCGGACAACGTCGTTTCGGGTCCTACTACACCTGCACCACGACGAGGAAGCAAGCGAGCCAAGAGCGATAGTGTGGGTGCTGAAGAGTCGTTGCAGACTTCTTCGAAAGCTCGTATCGAGCGCAAACAAAGTCCTGCGACTGCCAGACGCAAGAGCTCCAGGCTATCTTCTGCAAACCCGACTCCAAGCAAGTGATGCCAGCGCGTCTTTTCGGCCAACTTTTGAGCTAACCCTCCTCAATCGAAATCTCCCGTGTATTTCTACTCTACTCACTCTCAACCTGGCGAAACCGCCGCATCATTACACATCGCGAATCCCAAAAGACTCTACCGTCCACAAAATCGATTGCAAGCTGTGTATACGATCGCGCGGACTGTGGCCAACGTGCTCAAGTCTCTTGCTTTAGTGTACATGCACAAGTCTTGCCCCGGTAAAAGTCCCTCGTACGCTCCCATGGCTGTGGCGCTTGCGAACACTTTCCAAGACTGGGCAGGCAATAGGCACAGCGGACCACTCAATGAAGCGCAACTCGCAGGCTCAGGGGAGGACCAACCCCAACAAAGCTACTCTACAATTCCCAAAGGGGTCTTGTCCGACGACAATCTCGACTCTGGCGCAAGCTACGCTCCAACGCACTTTTAGGCGTCGTGCCACATTGCGACATTGCAAATCACATTGATTGGCGAAGTGCGTAAAGCTCTGAAGGCCGTGATGGACGAGAGAGGGTCGAGGGGAGGGCGTGAAGGAAGGGGGAACCATGACATAATGCAACGTGTGAAAAGAGTGCGAGATTGCGAAAATGAGACCATTGTTCGTTGGTTGACATATCTGGTGGCTAAGTAGAGGACATATCCGTCGGCGAAAGACCGTGTTGGAGACAGATGGAAAGGTGGACGAGACGGGAACAAAAGCGGAGCGCTGCGTAGCGTTGCTAAGAATCTCTCTCTCTCTCTCTCTCGTCTATTCATGGCCGCAGCACGAGCAAGATCCAGCCACTCTCTGCAGGACTTTTTCTCAAATTCGCCTAGGCAGCTTGCCCTTCCCGAGAGATCCCGCTTGCGTTGCCAAGGATCATTCGAGGGCAATTTGGCCCCCTCTTCTCAACAAACCGGCTCCGCTGGCAAGACAAATAGCAGTAGCAGCTGCGCTGCCAAACAGC